GGGCAGGTGTGGGTTGCAGGGGTCCCGCCCCGGGGCCGGGCACCCGCGTCCCCAATGCGGGCAGGAGCCGGTGCTGGGCCATGAGCAACGCGACGGCCCCCACGGCCCCGGGCACGGCGGGCGACTCGCTGGTGGGCTCCGTGCTGGGCCCCTTCCTCTTCCTCACCCTCCTCGGCGCCGTCCTGGCCGCGGTGAGTGGGCGGGCAGGGGGAGGTCTGGGGGGCACCGACGCCCCCCGAGCCCGCGCCGCTGATGCCTTTCCCCGCAGGTGATGTGCGTGCAGAAGAAGCGCAGGTGAGGGGGGGTCGCGGGGCTGGAGGCCGGGGGGGGCTGCGGGGTCACCACTCACCGCCGACCCCCCCCAGGTCTGAGCGGCTGCGGCACCGGCTGCTGCCCATGTACAGCTACGACCCGGCCGAGGAGCCGCCCGAGTCCGAGCAGGAGCTGCTGGTGGAGGCCGAGGAGGCTCAGGTGGGTGGGAATGGGTTCTTATCCAGGTTTTCCATGAGAAATTTAAGCACCAGCAAGTGAGGTGCCTGTCCCGAGGGAGCTCCGGGTTCATTAAAGTTGGAAAAGGGCTCTAAGATCGAGTCTAACCTCGGGGGAGACAGCTTTGGGTGTAACCCAGAGGGCTTTGGGAGGGTTGGGCTGTGCAGCTGGTGCCTGCAAGCCCAGGGCTCCCCCACGCACCGTGATGCCCTGCTCGGCGTGGGGGGGTCTGGGCTGGGCCCCTCGTTCCCCCCCGTGCCCGGTGAGCACGTGTGACCCTCTCTGTTGCAGGTGGTGCCTGGCTGGGGGGGACTCTCACCCCCTCGGCCCCCACGCAGGGACTGGAGGGCCTGACCCTGCCCGGAGCACCAGGACCAGATGCTGCCCGCGGGAGGGAAGGGAGGACGGTGCTGGCGCCCTGGGACGGGCAGGACGTGCCCGCAGTGGTGCCCCCAGCAACCCCCACCCCAGCACTGACCGGCGGGGACATCGTTTTGCCTTTTTTTTTTTTTCTGCTTGAACTGCTCCAGCAGCCCCTTGGAAGGCTCAAGGTGGGGCAGCAGGGCCTGGCAGGGAACAGCGGGCTCCAGACACTGTGGGATGCCCGGGGGGAGATGGAGCAAATAAACATCTCTGCCTTCGGCTGTGGGGCTCCATGTGGGGCTGGGGGTTCAGCAGCACCGCCCCAGCCACGGGGGAAGTTTGGGGGCAGTGGGGCTTTGCATGTTTGTGTTTGCATCAGCAGCTCCTGCCCGTGCCCAGGGATGGCCGGTGGCTGCCACCAGCACGGATGTGCCCCTGGAGAAGGTGCCGTGCGGAGCAGCCACACGTGGAACCCACCTGCCCCCCCAGCCAGGGCCCGGGGCAGAGCCGTCCAACGTCCATAAAATGTTTTATTCAAGTAACTGCAAATAGGAACCCAAAAGGTCATTAACAGTGAACCAAAAAGAACCCCAAACCAAACCCCGATTCTCTCCCGCCGGGGCCGCCCGGCACCGACCTCCGGTCCCGCTGCAGCCGTCATGCCTGGGCAGCGTGGGGGGGGGAGCACCCCACGGTCCCCCCACCCCACTGCCCTGCCAGCCTCAATCCCCTGGAGCAATAGAGCAAACCTAAGACCTCAAAACAACAACTTTAAAAAAGAAAAACAAAGCCCAAAAAAAAAAGGGGAGGGGAAAAAAAAAAATGCCCCACGGCCCCCAGCAACACCCCGAAACAGGAACCACCAAGCCCACGGTGCCCCAGCAGCGCAGTAGCACGTCTGTGAGTTCAGAGAGTGGAACTTAAATATCCAGAGGTAGTTGTGAATGAAAGGAAAAAAAGTACTAAAAAAAAATATATATCTATACCAGAACCTATGAGGAAAGGGCTGCCCCAAGCTGGCCCTGCACAGGTCCCCCCAGGACGGGCTCTGGGCCTCGGCAGTGCTGGGGGAGCTGCTCCCACACACAGTGCAGTCACCCAGGACTGGGAGGGTGCAGGGGGTGCCCAGGGAAGCCATAGGCCAGAGCAAAGGTCTAATGCATTTGGGGGGTCTCACCTTTGCTGCCCCCACTCTCTTTTCTGCAGAGGCCCCAGGGCAAAGCCTGATGCTGGGGGGGGGGGAGGAGGGGGCAACCAGCATCCACTTTGGCTGGGTGAGATCACTGCGTGGGGGGCAGCGAAGGTGGGGGGTCCCAGCCCCGGCTCTCTGCCAGGCCCCCCCTTACCAGTGGGGCTGCCCCGAACCCCAGTGCTGGGGAGGGGGAGCCGGGGCAGGTGCCCCCCCGGGCGGGGGCTGCAGGGGCCGCCCGGGTTGGGCCATTTTCCAGTGCTGCCGTTGTCTGAGGGTGAGGAGGGAGCGGAGGAGGAGGAAGCCGGGGCGGCGCAGTGGGTCTCTCCCGGTCCCTCTCACCCGGCCGCCGCGGGGCCGTCGGGCGATGAGGTAGCGCCGGCTCAGGAGGTGTCACTGCTCCTCCTCGGATGACTCCTGGGAAATGTTCACCTCCTCCTGGACCTGCTGCTGCGAGGCAAGGGAGCGTGTTTGAGGGTGCCACTCCATTTTCCCTGGACGAAGGGCTGACCGGCCACATCACACCCCTCGTGCAACGAGGGCAACTGAGGCACCAGCACCCTCCTGGGTTTAAGGACTGGCCCTGACTCCGAGTTCAACTGCTGCAGATTAAATCCCAGGTGAGAAGCCCCTTGGGTGGGCTCACAGCGAGGAGGGGGGACTGCACACCCCAGGTGCCTTGACACCTGCAAGGGTGGGACTGTGGTCCCCAGTGGCTCCCCGGGGGTGGTGGCAGGACCGGGTGTCCCTGTCCAGCCCTGCAGGCCGGGGTGGGTGGCCGTGACCCCACACGGGTGGTGACTCAGGGTTGAGTGAGCCTGACTCACACCAGCCCCCACTTCCTCCCGCTTCATTCACAGAAACGCCACCGCGGCTGCCGGGGGGACACCGGGGGGGACACCGTGTCCCCAGCACGGCCCCACTGGCACAGGACGGGCTCTTCCCACCCCCCACACTGGCTGCCTGCCCTGGGACCCCAAACAGCCCCCGGCACTGTGACACCAGCACAGGAGATCCCAGGATGCAACCCCGGGTTTGCAGCCCTGGCTGCTCCCAACCCCTCGTGCTCTGCTAGGAATTTCAGTGGGAAAAGGAGCAAAATCTGGGCCATGCAGGGAAAGGAGATGAAGCCACTCGGGTGATGCTCGTGGGTGCCCCGTATTCACCTCAGCTGCAAGCTGAGGGGGAAAGGAGAAAAAATGGAATGGAGGAGGGAAGGCTCAGGGAATGGGGTGGCTGCACCCGCAGGAACCGCGCCAGCACATCCCCAGGGGCAGGACCAGCCACCTCTACACTGCTCCTGGGGCTGGGACCACTCGAACCCCCAGCCCCAGGGTACAGCTGGGTTCACAGCCCGCCCTGTGTCCTCTGCTTGGTCACTGCTCTGCACTCCTCCAGCCCGGCAGCATCCACCCATCCTCGTGGGGCCAGCCAGGGGATGCTGTGCCCCCAAAGTGTGCAGCACCCTGCCAGGTCAGAGGGGGAAGGGAAAAAAAGCCCACTCACCGTTTTTTTGGGTCGCCCTCGAGGTTTCCTCCCTGGTGTGACTGCAGTTTTCTGAGCAGCAACAACCAAAAAAAAGGGCATTTTGGTCAAGCTGTTCCTGGGATACTGTTTGGGGGAGTGGGGGTGGGGGGTGTCCAGCCTTCCCCTTCCTCCCACCCGTCACTGCCAGATTCATCACCCCAGTGGCATCTCCTGGGGTGCTGCTGCCAGCTCCCCCTGGCCCCAGGATGCCCCATGACTCACGAGGTGGGTGCAGGATGTGAGTCGCTGTTTTGCAAACAGGTTTGCCTTGGTGTCCTTGTGCTGACACATACGGCCCCCCCCAGCCCCCCTTGCCCTCCCTGGGAGCCAGTGCCCAGACCCCCCCTCCCAGGGGCAGATCTGCCCAGAATTGTCCATAACTGAACTCAAACCGGACCTGCGGTCCCAGCACTTGGCTGGAGCAGCCCCGTCCCCAGGCACCTACCCTGCCCTTTGGGGTGGCCTTGTTTTTACTGCCCTTTGGCCGTCCACGGGGTCTCTTGGGGGTCGAGGCATCGCTGGGCTCCTGCTGGAGGAAGAACAGAGGGGGGGCTGCATGCCCAGCATGGCTCCCAGTGCCTCCCAGCATGCTCCTGCCTGGGAGTCCCATTCTTCCCAGCAGACCCTGACAGGTCAGAGATGCTCTTGCATGTGGTACTGGGATCACTGGGATTGGAGATCAGGCACCAGGCACAGGTTCCTGTGTGTCCTTCAGCCGGCTGTACGTGACCTGTCCCCCTCTCAGCATCAGCTGCTCAGCTCAGCCAGACAGTCCCCACAGCTCCTCAGCCCAGACCCTGCTTGCTGCCAGTGCCACAGTCAAGGAAGCATCAGGGAACCCAAAAATCACCTTTTCTGCAGGAAAAGGATGTGTACAAACTCCACTTGCCCCGGGGGAACTAAGGGGGGGTTGGCACTATAAAGGCTCCAGCAGCATCTTATCCCTCTGAGCAGCTTTTGCTAATGGGGCTTTAATTAGCCCATCTGGAAAGGCAGGTTCAGCAGGGCCTGGGGAGGGGCAGGGGAGCCCCCAGCCCAGCCCTGGAGCAGCTCTGGGATGCTGCAGCACTTGGGGGTCTCTGGAGCCCCCCAGGAGGGTTTTGCTGCTGGTGAGCACTGGGGAGGTGCTGCCCAAAGGGGGCAGTGGGGGCTGCACTGGGTGTGTCCCCAGCCCTGCCTGGGGGATGCAGGGGTAGGGGGTTCCCTGCTGCCCATACCCTGGGGGTGCCTGTCACCCCCCTCCTCCCAGGGTACCTCACGTACCTGTGGCTTCTTCCTGGGCCGCCCTCGGCCCCTCTTCTCCGACACGTCCTTTTCCCCCTTGGAGGCCAGGGGCTGGCTGGATTTGGCGCTGGATTCGCTCATTGTCTGTCCGGGCAGTGGTGAGGAGGAGCAGGAGGGAGGAAGGTCAATCAGCAATGGCTCTGGCTCACCGTGCCAGCCGGCCCTGCTGCCCCCCCAGCCCTTGCACTGGGGTGATGTCACCTCCATCCTCCTGGCACCGGCTGGGGGGCAAAGTGCACTGGCTGCCCCAAGCCCCTGGCACAGCCACCCCCCTAATGAGCCAGTGCCTGGCCCTGAGGCATCTCCCGGGGCCCCCTCAGGCATCTGGGGAGCAGCAGCTTGGCCAGCCCTTCCCACCCAACCCCCTTCCCCAAAAAGAGGAGAGCGGCTCCAGGTTTAATCTGGAGTCCTTGGAATCCCAGATGTGCTGCTGCACCAGCAAGCTGGGACAGGATGAGTGGTGGCACCAGGGGCCCTGGGCATCCCCCAGGGGTGCCAGGGCCCTGGAGGGGGGCACAGGCTCCTGCAGCCCTGTTCCCACCCCACCTTGACACCCAGCAGTGCTGCACCCAGAGAGGGTGCTGGACCCCTGTCCCTGCTCCATCTGGAATTAGGGACAGGCACTGCCTGGCACTTGTCCTGGGGATGCTGGGTTGTGCCCCCCCCATGCATGTCCCCAAGGGCTGGGCAGCTTTCCTTGCTCTTGGAGAAATCCCACAGAGGAAAAGGCTCTCCACCTCACTGCTTCCCAGGAGTGCAGGGAAAACCTGCTTTTCCAGAGCCGTGGGGGTGGTTCCACACCCAGCTCCTGGCCTAGGAACCAGGAGGGATGGGACTGGGGATGGAAGGAGCAGGATCACTGCCACAGCCCCTGCTCTTACCAGTGACCCTGTGCAGGGCACCTGCGCTGCTGCTCAGCCAGGTGACCGTGGCCATGCAGGGACCTCTGCCTGGAGTGGGGAAATGAGGATTCCCAGCAGGAACAGGGCAGGGAGAGGCGGGTACGAGGTTGTGTGCCCAGTCTGTGTGTGCCGACAGAGGCACCCTCCTACCTCTGGGATAACAACGCTCAGTTTTGAGCGACTGGTTCCAATTTGGATGGTGTTGGAGTAGCTGGGACAGGGGGTGCTGAGCCCCCCGGGAGGCTGAGCCTCACTGGGGCAGCTGGGGTGGGTGTGGGCAGGACGTGCAGCGCGAGAAGCCACGCTCAGACCTCTGAGGCTTTTCAAAAAACAGGCGTCAGCTCCCGCTCCCCTCTGGAAGTGACTCATGAGTGCAGAACAACAACAACAAAAACCACCCTCGGAGTCTTTTTTTTTTTTTGGGAGACAGAAACCATGCTGTCGTGTAAACACCCCGAAAATATTACTCACAGCATCCCAGAGCCCTTCAAGGAGTCTCTTAGAAAAAAAGAGAAGTATGGTTTAGATTTAGGCCAGCAAAAGGCCAGCTGCTGGCCGGGCTGGGCCAGGGTTTTGTCTCTTTTTGAGTCAATCTCTGTCAGAGGCAGCACAGCCTCGAGCCACTCCGTGCCCCCTCCCGCAGCTGGAAACAGATGGGCCCAGCATGGCTCCCACCCTGCCGTGTTCTCCTCTCCCTGCTGGGGCTGGGCCCCACGCAGCAGCTCCAGCTGGGAATGCCAAGGGGGCCCCCCACACCATGGGGGTACCACTGGGTCTGGCCCCCCGAGACAGAGCCTGCTGCCACAAAGTTGGTGCTGGGGAAAGCACATGCACATCCCATCCATCCCTCTGCACCCCATCCATCTCTCTGCACCCCATCTATGCCTCTGCACCCCAGCCATCCCTCTGCACCCTGGCCATCCCTCTGCACCCCATCCATCTCTCTGCACCCCAGCCATCCCTCTGCACCCCATCCATCTCTCTGCACCCTGGCCATCCCTCTGCACCCCATCCATGCCTCTGCACCCCATCTATGTCTCTGCACCCCATCCATGCCTCTGCACCCCATCCATCCCCCTGCACCCCAGCCATCCCTATGCATCCCGGCCATCCCTCTGCACCCCATCCATGCCTCTGCACCCCAGCCATCCCTCTGCACCCCAGCCATCCCTCTGCATCCCAGCCATCCCTCTGCAGCCCGGCCATCCCTCCACCACCTCACAGCTCTCCCCAGGGCCCCAGAGCTGAAACCACACTGGGGGACTGAGGGGTCCATGCCCCACTCCAGCAGAGGGGGATTAGGAGGAGGATGCTGGAGATGGAGGGTGCTTCTCTCTCACCCCAGCACCTTCCCAGCCCACACCCTGTTCCCGAGAGCAGCCCCAGCTCCCGCAGTGCTCCCTGCTCGTGGCACCTGCCCGGCCCCGGGTGCAGCCCCAGCCCCGGGACCGGGCACATGGCGGAAGCGGCTCCGGCCCCGCTCACGTGCGGCAGAGCCATGGAGGGAGGGAGGGAGCAGCTGGGTTGCCATGGAGGAGAGGAAGCAGCTGAGAGAGAAACCTTTCCAGGCAGGGAGGATCAGTGGGGGATGCGGGCAGGGGCTGCCGGGCTCCCCGCGGCCGGGGGGGTGCACATCTCTGCACGGTTTGGAGGTGGAGGGGCCACATCTGCCTCTTGATCGATGGAGCAGGGGGAAGAAAACCTCCTCCCCTCTCCATCCCTACGGATGCTGAGCCACCAGGCTCTCCTCCCCCGGCGCCATCGCTCCCCCTGCTCCACAGCACGGGCTGGGCTGTTCTCAGCAGTCACCTCTGGGTTGCACGAGGGCCAACCTGTCCCCCCGGCGCGATGCTCCTGCTGCTCCCGGGCCTGTTCCTGCCTTCCCGGCCGCCTGCGCTGGCTTACACTGCTCTGTGCAGATAACCCCACAAATCCCCCTCTCCTGCCACCTACTCTTAGATTAAACGAACCGGCCCAGGGGAAGCAGGGAGACGGGCGGGGGCTTAGATCTTAATAAAAAGATATAAAATCTCTTCACGCCCAGGAAATCCAGCCTGATGGCAGCTGGAGAAGGATCCCGGCCGCACCTCCTGGCAGAGGCATGGGGAGGGAGGAGGGGAAGGAATCGTGGAGCAGAAGTTGAAGAGCCTGTTGGGCAGGGGCGCGGGACGGGAGGGATGTGCCGGCTCCTCCTTAGCACAGACCCGCCGTGGGGCTGCCCTGACCCCCCCCCGGGGCTGCCATTGAGCAAAGTCCCCCCCTTCCTTCCTGGGATGCATAATAAAAGGAAGTGATAAAGGAAAGGAAGGAGGGAGGTGGGGGAGAAAGAAAAGAGGCGGGAAGGGCACCATCAGGGCTTTGTGAAGCCCCTGTCCTGGGGGGGAAGGGGGGGTAATAAAACCCCGCGTAGAGCCAGCGTGGATGGCGGGGTGCGGGGCCGGGGGGGACCACGATCTCGCAGCGCGGGCACCGTTCGGGGACGGCCGAGCCCCAGCACCGCAAGTTTGCCCCGACCCGCGTGTGCGCGTCCCGTGAGCTGGGCCCGGCCTCGCACAGGCCCCGCGCCCCGGCCCCGCGCACCTTGCACGGCCCCGGCCCCGCACGCGGGTCCCGCTCCCACGCCCG